GATGGCTCACCATTATGATACACTCTGAATGGTTGGAGGCACTTGTCATCAGCGGATGACTCGGGTTTAAATCCCAAACTGAATGAGTTCTTTCAAGACGCCTTGCTGACGAGTGCCAACAAGCACGAAACCTAGGTGCAAGGCTTCCTGTAATTGCCTCCAAAAATCTAACCACCACATATTTGTTTACTTTCAGTGACTAGCCAAGACATTCATCTCACTCGAAAAGCAGATCAATCAAAGCCAAAATATTTTATTAGTAATATATCTGATTGTGGTAATGAATTTGATGAATACTTTTGTGCTTAAAACAAATATGATAACACGTAAAATAAGTAATCTAACAATGCAAAGACGCTAACAACAGTGGATGTTACTTAAGATACAATGGAAATTTAATATAAGTGAATAATTAACATTGATTTTATTTGGCGGATGCCGACTCTGCCCTATCTTGTAGCTAAAGTGGTCTAGTGAATAGCACTTAGGCGTTTGAAACGAAGAGTCTTGAGTTCGATTCCAGTGGTAATGTAACAACAGAAGACAAGAGCCAGGCAACAGATCGTTTATTAAGGAAATCAACACATATTTATAGGTTTCATGTACATTATTATAGATTATTGTTAGCAGAAAAACACAGTCTTCTGATTGGTTGTTTCTCACTGAAAGTTAGTCTTTCATCTCTTTGTGGCTGTTTCTTGAATGTCAGATCATCTATCTGCTAATTGTATCCGCCTACGCAAAGTCTGCTGTGATTGCTTGTTGAGTCAATCTTTGTTCTTGTTTTCACATGACCAATATTTGGGACATAAACATTGACGTAAATTACTGTCTATCAATTTGGCTAGCAGCCAGCTCTCACCACAGTAACACCATTATTCACTTAAGACTGCAGCTACATTTAAGTGAGGAGTCCCAAAATTGGAATGAAGTGAGCATCCAGGATACCACTTCTAGTCACCACATACCAAATAACATTAAAATTCATTCTCAGACATCGGTATAGCCTCCTATCTAGGGACCAATATACCAAAAAAATTCGAACATATCTGGTCAATCAATCAGCATAAAAGACAAAAGTGAAAAGAGTGCAGCGGGTCGGGTGTGAGGACAAATACTCGCCAGAGACATTGGCTAACAGTTGCGCTATATCGTGAATTGGCAGAAGTTAGAATTCATGGGCTGGTCATTGGATCGGGTCCCAGTGGCTGAATGGTCTACGAGCTCGCCTTGTAACCAGAAGGTCCTGGGTTCGAACCCCAGTGTGTGCGTACTACTGAAGAGTCCCAAACTAGGACGAAATAGCCGTGCAGTACTCCCAGGTTCTCCAATGGTTCTCTAACCGATGTCAGCTCATGAAGAAATCCTGTAACCTATTTTGACTAAACTGATGAGTAAAGCTAAGAAAACTAATCGGCTGAATGTATCCTTGGCGAAATGGGCATGAAAGTAGTTGACATCCCACATGAAATAACTAGAATACGAGGAGTAGAAGAGTGTAATAAATCTAAAGCAGAAAACAAGTGACGGTGAACAAGTCCCTTTTCTATGCACAGCTCTGGCTTCTTTATTTGGATAGCTGAACTCTTGTAGCAATACAAGAGAGGCAAACATGCGATAACTTTTGCAGGTTACTTTTCATCTTATAGATAACTTCAAAGTTAGAGGTTGTTTACGTTGAATGATGCGTGTTGGCAAGATATTCAACTGTCGTGCATCTTAAAGACCACACAGCTGCTTTTTTATGACCATGAACGACAGTGTCCTTGAACCACTTTAGACACGACACCATTGGAAGATAGATATTCCTCTTCAACCATATGCAAAAACATACAATTTATGATGAGGTGAAAGCAGTGAAAGCTGACGAAGAAACAGCTACGATTTAAACGAAACTCCAATGAACAAATACTTTCCTCAACAATAATTTCATTATCAGCCTGCATAGTCTGTTCACTGCAGCTTTACCAATCTCATTTGCATATTAATTCCGTCTTTCTGTTTAAGTCGTTATACTTAATTAAAAGACAAAATAATCGAGCAAAGAATATTCTTTTCGATAAATTCCTCTTCCGGCTCTATAATTATATATATGTTTATATACACAGAATATTCTGGATTAATAGTTAACAACAATACTAGTTTTTTTTAATAATATCGATTTGTAAAGTAAGATCAATGCAATTACAGTTCATTAAAGATGCTTAAATTATAATAACAATAAAGATATAATAGCGAATAGAATATCAACTAAAATTAGGAAAATTCCACAAAAATTCCGGATTATTCAAACCTGGATGGCCAAGGTAATGATAATGTCTGAACTAACTTCTTTTGGATGCATAAATTAGGCTTGTTAATATGGATCCCCACAGCCTCAGCAATATTTAGTAGTCGAATTCTTAAGGCAAAATTGACATTCGTAGGTATGCGGTAAAGGACCCTGAAAGCATGGTTAACGTCAGTCTTGTGTTCTGTCTCAACAAGATGAGACAGAATAGCGCTGCGAATGGATTTTGTTTGTCCTTTGCTTAACCAGGCAGGGTCATGTTCAGAAATTCGACGAGAAACACGCCTAATTGTACGGCAGTTTTCAATATAACTCTGCCTATAATCGTTGTGTGGATTTCATATAAAGTATATATATATATATATATATATAATTTGTTGTCCGCCCACTTGCAATGAAAAGCATACTGCACTGAAGACGACTGACGTAAATAACACAGGTCGAGTGAAACTACACCACTAAGATTTGAAGCACTAAACTGCTTCGAAATCTCGAATTTGTTTAGATTAATTTTCATTCAGGCATAGTAGATAGAATAAGTATGACGTAATCTGTTCAGATTGATAAATAATGTAGTTCGGAAAAATTATTCTAAAATCATTCACTATTTCACGCACTTTTCCAGTTCATATATATTATTAGATAAAAGAAAATATGTATAGATGAAACAGGCGAAGCTTATCAATTAAGGATGGTTGAAAATAAACAAGACGGGTTTTAGAAGAATCTTTTAAACTATTATTGGAAATGTTTTTCTGAGACAAAAATAAAGTAAGATGAACAGATTTATGATAAGCTTGCCATACACATAATCAACTTAAAATCGATTTAGAGGATTTCATCATAAACCGACATCAGTTAGAGAACAATTGGAAAACCGGCTGGGAGTACTGGAGAGCTGTTTCACCTGCCTAGTTTGGGACTCTTCAACAGTACGAAATCACCATTACAGTTAGAACTCAGGATCTTCTGGTTACAAGGCTAGTGAGCTTGCAGACCATTAAGCCAGTGGGACCCAATCCAATGGCCAGCCCATGAATTCTAACTTCTACCAATTCATGACATAGCGCGACCACTTCGCAATGTCTTCTTCGATGAATTACTGCCTCACCTTCAACCTGCTGCACCCTACTGGTCATGGCTTCCCACTAGAACCCCAGGTTACTGCCTGAATAGGGTCAGAGGCTAGTGAGCATCAAATCAATTTGCAAGTATTGGTTTCGTAGGGGATTTTGTTTGATTGGCTGGAGGATTTCATCATGAGCTGACATCAGTTAGAGGTCGCCTTGTAACCAGAAGGTCCTGGGTTCGAGCCCCGTGATGTGACTGCGTACTGATGAAGAGTCCCAAAGAGCTGGGACGGAACAGCTGTGCAGTACTCCCAGGTTTTCCAATGGTTCTCTAACTGATGTTAGTTAGTTCATGATGAAATCCTCCAACCAATCAAACAAAATCCCCTACAAAACCAATGCTTAAAATAGATTTCTTTCCCTATAATTAATTTTCGTAACCTACTCCTAGAATGCAAGCTGTTTATCATTTTTAGCTGATAAAATATTTGTGTAAATCGGTTGTGAAAGCGTAACCGATACTGTTATCTAATCCTGATGATGATTAATGCATAAGATTTACCGATGGATCTAAATGAAATAATACTGTAATGTACTGCAAAAAGATAACATACACCAGGAGCAAATCGACAGGTACATTTGCGTACCAAGGCTTTATGCTTCATAACTATGTAAGCGCTAACTTCAAAATAAAACTAGGGCTGAAGATGTCGTTTATAGTAAAAATGAAATCTATGTAATTAAACTATTCAGCCCAGAGAACAAAATCACAGCAATATCATCCGCCTGAGCTACAAATCTTCCCTATAATTTCAACAACTCAAGCACTTGTATATCCAACACATAATCCATTAGTAAATGATAAAGAGGCGTCTATAAGAGCTGAGGAACTTAGTACTTACAGTAAAACCCCAAACAATAAACAGCTGTTGAACTTGATGACTACTAGATGTCATTTTACATCACTCAGCTGTACAACCTCTACTGCTGAGAAGACAGACGCAGCTTACTCGCACTAATATTGTAAGACTCAAACCAACTAACTGCAGGTCATCGAAACCCGTAAAATACACATTGCTGTCACAGGCAGGCACACAATATACATCAACAAAGGAAATCAATTACTGTGTAGTGATAAGAGCTGTTATATCTCGATTGATTTTTTTCAAACCCACCATGAAGAAAGATACATAAGGTGGTATCTATGTGACTGTTGCATCCAAAACGTTTGGCATCATCAAACTATTCAGACTATGCAACATATTGAAGCACCTGACAACACTCTGTTTGAATCATGCAGGCTCTCATTGAATATTTATGCGGAACACTGCTGCACATATCAAATCACTTTCATAAATCATTGAAAATTTTTATCTATTAAATAAAGTTTGCCGAGAAATTAAAAAGCACTTAGTCTTCAACATACATTCCAATAAACAATGGTACAAAATGCCACTTCGTATTCTTTCCACCAGTAACAAGTTAGGGATGAAAGTAACGTAGGCTTACTCTTATTATCTATGCTGTTAAGTAAATGTAAGATACTATATATTGGCTTGCAACGCATTGCTTAAGCTGATAACCAACGTTTTCTTAATCAGAACACGATGAAACTATTAACAAAACCCCTCGTGAGCACGGGACATTTGATCCAATAAAAAAAGGAAAAGCTTACATTCAATAAAAATATTTTGAATCTCTAAAATTCACTCATAGTATCTTACAGAAATGTTATAATAGTTTACAGAAATAACATGAGTTTTAATAAATCAAAAACAGAAAATGAAAAATGAAGAATATTGATATTATGAGGGGATAGTGACAATTTCTAGGGAAAACCAAGGAAATACAACAAGCATACAAAACACAAACTGAACTACAATGGGAAGGTATGTGTGTTATACTGACAAATCATCTCTGCTGTAAAATAAACAAACTTGGTGTAAACAAGGGGAATTTTATGAAAAGTAGAAAAAAAAGGCGCTTTTCTACACAAGCGAATAAGAAGAGACTAATTCACCACCTAATTAGGTTACATTAGAAAAATGTTAATAAAATAGGTTAACAATTAATCAGCAATAAGGATTACTCTCATTAAACAGGTCGAATGATAGTTGCGTCACGAGAAGCACCTGTTCCAATCCATCGTATAGGTATATTAAGTAACTTTTCAACTGTTTCAATGAATACTTTAGCCGCTGCCGGTAGTTCATCATAATTCCGACAATCATGTGTAGTTGTTTTCCAACCAGGAAGAGTTTCATAAACTACAACAACACGATTAAGAACTGCTGAATCAGACGGAAATTCGCTTAGCTCTTGTCCACTTTCAGGATCAATATACGCTCGACCAATTTTCACCTTCGGTATTATAGAATGCAAACACACACAGGAATTAAATCAGTAAAAACAATAAATGCATAGTGTCACAAAACATCCCAATTGAATGCAAAACAATATCGCTTCACATCGCACAAATATTCTATATTACAAATTATATTTTTATAAATTTCAAAGGAATTAAAATCAATAGAACCAACATCTCGTTGAGATTTACGCAAACATAATTGTTGGATATGCCTACTTTTCACTCGATGACCAATTTTTGTAGAGCTGTTCGGTGAAATATCGATCGCAGCTTGTAAAAGATATTCCAGACTAATTTCCAAGTGTTAGTTCTCGGGGATTTGATCGATTTCAAGTTTGACAACGAAATAACTTCAGTTAGAGAACCACAGAAAACCAAGAAGTACAGGACTCTTCAGTAATACACATCCACCACCCCCGCCAAGGATAAAACTCAGAACCTTAAGGTCACAAAACCAGCTAGTTGACGATTCAGTCACTGGGAAGGAATCCAATGACCAACGAATTCTAATCTCCACTAATTCGTGATTTATTGACCAACAACCAGATTAGTTAATAATTACGTAACTTCACTCAGAAAATACTGAATCTTACAATACCCTATCTACTCTTCCACCTCAGAAAAACAAGTAGTGAACTCAACGACTTCAAGAAAACTGAAAATAAACAATTACTCAACACTTATTTTTCCTTAAACCTGTAGGTATCTATACATGGGTGGGGGAATAATGAAAGTGAAAGTAGATGGAACGGGTTGAACGAACCAATTAGCATTGAATTTCAGTCACTACGCTGAAAACCTTAAATGCAATAATTCAGCAAATAGACTGTCTTTGAAACATTCATCTTTCCAAGTAGTCAAGGTAGCCCAATAGATTTATTTCCGACTTATACATAAAAGATCCCTCACAATTCCGTAAATGAATATTAGTCTGTAACTAAACTACCTGGAAAATAGAGTATTTTACATACTTTCATCTTACATATGAACAAAAACAGGAAAGACGCTGTACACCAACATAAATTCATTAATCGAAAGCTTATTTCGCCAATGTTTGACTGAACAGGGAGACAACAGTTCTCTATGTCTGGTTACCTCTTAAATACAAAAGACGTATTATTGCAATTAAAGCTAACAATGTAACAGTGGAACACAGTTTTCTGATACATGCTTTTATGTAATTACAAAGCTAAGAACAATTTACGTCCGATAGCTTACAATGCTATATTTTATTTTTTTTACCAAAAGTCAGTTAGCAAGTTAGTTTAGAATACAACATAGAAATTTGCTTGACTTTCTAAGAATTCTAACTTCCCAATAGTTGACAGTTATTCTCCTTATGAACTAACTAGTTTCGAAACGTATGGGTTAGTTTGAGAGACGCTGTCTGTCTGTTTTCGACATAGAACTTTGCACATATGTGCGGCAGTTCAAGTCGCCACACTCCATGTAGCACACAAAGCAAGAGAAGAAAGTAGGAGAAATGCATATTAAAGACAGTAAACAGAGGTGTGAGACAAAGGAATAGTAATAGCGAAGAACAAAACAGTTTAATTGGAAATCATAAGTCAAAAGGAGTGGATGCATCTGCTCCAGCCGTTGAGGACGATTTTTAGCCATACTACCAATTGTTTCCAACCATTGGTTTTTACCGTCCTGAGGACCCCAACCAGGGAGTCTTCACCTTTCTACGTAGCTTAAACTAACTGTTGTAGATTCATTGACTGATGCCATGTTTTTCTTTTATCTAGCCTGACTTATTCAGCTAATATTGCCCATCGAGGAAGGCGGTGACTGGGCATACGTAACACATGTCCTAACCATCTCAGTCGATGTAATTTCACAGCCTCGTTGATTGATTTCCCCTCCTTACCTAGCACTCGACGCCTAACCTCAATATTCCTCACGCTATTATACCACTTCACACGGGAGATAGAACGCAGACACCTATGATCAAAGACAGCTAATCTTTTCATGTCTTCCACTCTCAATGGCCATTACAACATCAGTACACACCTTGGTCGATAGTCGGATATCTCGTCTACGCCAGAGACGGTGTAAACTGGCATATACGAAACTACTTGTATGAGATTTCGTCGAGATCAACCCGTTGGGCTGATGGTACTTCCCAATAAGTGAAGCGGTCAACGTGCTCTACCACTTCACTTCCTATTTTTAATCTAGGAGTCGGTGTAGTCCAATCCTGTAGCATCATCTTACATTAGGCGAATCGCATGCACAAATCCCTGCGTCTCTGAAGTGAGAACTCCAACCAATAATAAACACTATCCTCACAACACTTTATCATAACTTGTAGGGTATACCTCGATCAGTAATTTATAATGATATTATACTATTTAAGATTTACAAAAACATTCGTATAGAGACACAGCTTGAAAACAATGTTGTTATCCAGTAAATAACACTGTTTCACTGTGTGATAGGTCTAATCAACAGAAGAATGTGTAATATTTCAACTACTCATTGAATGCTAACAGTACTAGACATAATTGTACAATATATACGTAAACTGATACTGATTGAAACTCATTTAACTACCTCTTCTAAATCATCCAAAACGTCCAGTTTAGTTAAAGCCAATGCAGTAAAATCGTTAATCATGTGTGCATATCGCACAACCACTGTATCCAACCAACCAATGCGACGCATCCGTTTAGTTGTTACACCCCATTCATGGCCTTTCTTTTGAATGGATTCACCAATACCATCTAACAATTCTGTAGGAAACGCACCAGACCCGACGCGAGTTGTATATGCTGTTAAAAATAGAAAAAAGGGAACTCATTTTGTTATCCAGTACTACTTTAACAAAGTGTATATAATGATTGGTTTACAAATTTGCTTTTTATTATTATTTCCTTGAGTTACGAGTGGAAAATAGGGCTTCAACAACACATCTCCACTTTGTCCTATCTTCTGCCATCCTCTTCAGCTGGGACCACGATTGCCCACAATCTCTCATCTCCTCCTCACACGATCTCCTCCATGTCACCCTCGCACCGACCACTCACTCGTCCCATTGGGATTCCACTTGAGCGATGGTCTGCATTAAGCGCTATGTCATTCGACGGCCTCCTCAATGTATGCCCGATCCATCTCCATTTTCTCCTACATATTTGTTGAGCGATTGGCTATTGGTTGGTTTGTTCCCAGACAAAGTTTCTTGTTGCTAATTCTTTCTGGCCAGCTGACCATTTGATCTTCAGTATTGAGCAAAGGCAGCTGTTGATGAAAGTCTGCAACAGGTTGTTGGAAATCCTTTTCGTGACATTCAGTGCAAGTTTCTGACCAGTATAGAAGAACCGACTTGACATTGGTGTTGAAAATCCGAATCTTGTTCTTTATGCTGAGTGCAGTGCAGAAGATTTCCAAACTGGTTTCAGGTTGATGAAGGCGTATCTTGCCTTTCCCATCCAGGCTGATTAGCTGTGACATCTTCATCCGTTCCGACTGCCTGTGGTTGAAACGATGCTTCCTAGATGAGTGAAGAAAGTAACCTCTATCAAATCCCTCCTGTTGATGGTGATTGGTGCTGGTTGTTGTTGTTGCTGCTCTGCTGTTGAGGTTCATTGGTTATCTTCATCACCTCCGTCTTCTCTATGTTCACCTGGAGTCCTGTTTTCGCTGCCTGCCTCTTCAGCCAGTTTGTTGGTTTTCGCCTGCAAGTCTTCGAGTTTGTGTGACATCAGACATATATCATCCACATGTGAAATCCAGATCTTCTAGAGTCTTCTTATCGGTGGTCCAGCGTACTACTGTCTCCTCACTCCCAACGCACAGTCTGACGCATAATCCAGTCCACCACAATTAGGAATATCATCGGTGATAAAAGGTAGCCAGCTTGTCTCACTCCTGTATTCACTTGAAATGCTTCACTGAGTTTTCTGTTGTGGATCACCTGACACGTGGCATTGTCATATAGCCTGTTGAATGAGGTTGATAAAGACTTGAGGTACGCCGTAGTGATGAAGTAGTTTCCAAATTACTTCTCAGTCGAAGCTGTCTAAGGCCTTTTCGAAGTCTATGAGGTTGAGGTAGAGGTACACACGATATGCAAATTACACTATAAATTGATGGACAGATTCTAACAGGGTATTAAATAGCTAGATAAAACTACTTCTAAAACATTTAAAAACTGAACTCGTTGAGTAAAACTATATTCATAATTACACAAATAAGTGGTACAAAACTATCTTACGGAGAGTCAAAGAATTAATGAATTAGAATAACAAAAAAAGGCCTAACAGTCAAGGGATAATAAAAACTAGTTCATATTACAATACGCTTCCAAGTCTAACCAAACTTTGTATTTTTATGACAAATTTTGCTAAGAATCAGAAAAAAACGCATTATATTTTTCATATCAAAATACTTTCACTTTGTGTTGCAAACCACGTGAGTGTTTTGAAAATGTACACAAATTCTAGACATTTTAGTTTTATTTAGAAGACAACGATGAGCGTTAACGAGACGTGCAATTGTTCACATTTAGCATACGTGGCAAATATTTGTTTCTTTGAATTCAACAGAACTTTAATACTTGTAAACACCCAGACAATGGATGCTGTAGGTCAGTAATTACAGTCTCCTATTATTTCTCACTTTTAACCATTTAGACAAAATGACATCCACTCTCTGCTTCCTAAATACGTTAACAACCTCTAAGATGGGGATGACATAGTGAACCACCTTACCACCAACTAGTTTTTTATGGGGTGGATTAAATCTACAATTAGTTAATTAGTAGTTCCTTGCAATTACAAATGGATAAATATTCCTACTTACTAATCCTACAGCAAAGGCTGTGAACAGTTTTGAATTTATACCAAAAGGTAAGATCAAAATCACATTATTTACGAGACCACACCAAAGGTAGGGATAATTGTTCTTAAAAGTACTGAACAACCGATTAGTTCACATCTTTTGCTGAATTTATTATACTCCATCATGTTTTACATTACATTACATCTGTACACTCGGAAAACGTAACTAGTGGCTTTTGCATGCACTATTAAAGGAGAAACTAAAGCCGTCAGAATCCACACACCTTAATTATCACAAAGGATTCTTCGAATGACGCACACAATCCTTTGCTACAATCCAATAGCATACGAATAGCTCCATAGTTTAAATCCTAAATATCTTAGGATGGTTAGAATCAAAACCGATCATAAATTGAAGTAAATCGTTAAAAAACAATAAGTACTGTTCCTTTGAAATCCCAGTAGAATAAATACTACTAATACTACACAATAACTTCAGTAGTTCCGCATTTAAAACATTAAATCAATGAAAAGTCAAAACGAAAAACTAGATATTTTTACCTTTAATAACACCATAGACGGGACCAATGCGAGAAGGAGGAAGTCCTAAGCCGGTGCACACACCTCCAATACTGCAATTTGACGAAGTAACATGCGGATATGTGCCAAAGTCAATGTCTAGCATGCAAGACTGAGCACCTTCTACTACGATGTTTGCTTCTTGAGTGGTTGCAAGCTTGTTAATTAGAGACACAGTATCACATACCATCCCTGATAACTTTTGGCGATAAGCCTTTAGTTGCTAAAAAGAGGCAATATATAAATCCAGTTCAAAAATTCTCGAAAACGAAACAAACATTTTAAAATGAACATCAGTGCTCAGAATTCCTGCTAATATATCCTATACGCATTTGCTACAGATAAATTAACAAAACAAGATCTTACATACGAGATGAAATCAGGAACATAACTGAACTCCAAATCAAACTTATTAAGCGTAGTGACTAACGGTGACAACAGATGCTAAGTAAATACAATTTTACTATGATAGGTTGTTTAATTACCATGAAAGCTACAATAAAAGCATATTCCAATGAACAGTAGTCCATATGAAAACATCATAAACTTTCTAGCATGAAGCCAAATCACTCATTGCATGAGGTTCCCTGTCCTGACACCGTGCTGTGCCCATTATTTGTCCATTCATTGATTATACCAAGTATTACTTACAACTGCAAAGACACCTTCAAGAGACTTTAAAATATTTTCTTACCACTAGTCACATTCATATTGTCCACACCTTTTGCATGCAAACAGATTCTTGTTTCTCTTCAGAATCTTACGTCAGCACTCTATACAAAATATTAAACAACTTTATCGCACAACCTTGCAAAAATCCTGTTGAGTAAACTGCACGACATTCTTAGTGAAAACTAGACGGATAGCTGCTACCTTGACGTAGTGGTCTGGCTTGCATATCGCAATGATCCAACGAGCTACACTGACTGGAACTAATGTTCCGGCAGGTCCTACTATGCCAGGGAAACTGTTAGAATAGCGATTAGACTAAAAGCAGCTACCGGCATAGTGTAGGAACTTTTTACACTATGCTGAGGGTCTGTGGGCGAAGTCGTACTACAGGGGAGCAGGGATGTAACAGCAGTAAGGTGTTTCCCTCAGACGACCAGCATGCCAGCTATGCTGTCTCTCCACCCTGAATAGAGATGACTAGAAAAGGTCAACCCAAAAAATTGCACATCCCAACTTACCCTACGGTGGTCCGTAGAGGGCAGTAAGTTGCTAATACGAAACCAAACCAAAAAACCAGTTCAAGAATGTCGTGTGACCGGCCTCAAGCAGTTGTCCCCTGGGCTCTGCGGTCACGCAACACTAACCCCTTTCTGTTTCAGGTACATCAAGAAAAAATCAACTTCCCCGGTGTGGGCAGCCAAGAAGTAACAGCCACCCACACACTTCCAAAAACACACGAAGCCTGTCTGACTATCATTCTGCTTTATCCCTGTCACCCTCATCATCTTGCTTTCCTACCACTGTCAGTACTATTCTGCACACTTGTCAATCATCTTCATTTCATTTTTTGCCACAAATAACGATGAGCCAGAAAAACACCCCTGGTAGCTTCTCAAAGCCACGACGCCAACTTTATACTGGGGCACATAACGTCAGGACTCTGCCAAATCGGACAACAGGCATCACTAGCCAGAACTCTAACATCTCCAGCCATGGATGTATGTTGTGTTTCGGAGACACGCATGAAAGATCCGAGTGTGGTTATTCACTTAACCCTTCCCGGCCAACAAGGTGAATCTGCGAAATTCATATAAGTATAAAACTTGGGCACTGTGGTAGAGTATAATTCCATAATGGATAAGATTTTATTTTGATAAATCACACAGTGTAGTACAGTTATATAAACTGCGAAATTCACTTTAAGGGTGTCAGGATATTCCTCAGCTAGTTCGCGAGGACTTGCAGGTATAGGGACAGCATTGAGTGTCAGGGCAGAAAAACCACTTCTTGAATGGATCCCAGTAGATAGTCGTATGTGTGCGGTCCGGCTGATCGGGTCTGTTAGAAGAAGGAAGGACGGCGTTACCCGTCGTTGTCTTTTCGTAGTCTCCGCTTATGCCCCAACAGACTGCAGTTCGGATGAACTAAAGGATGATTTCTACCAGAAACTGTCTAGTTTGCTGCAAAAAGCAAAACGCTCATAACCAACAATGGTGATCGTCTTCTACAGTTCTGTTCAGACAATCATCTGTTCCTAGTCAGTACTAACTTTAGGCACAAAGAAATAGCCTAACCTAGTGACCTCCATCACCAAATCAACGATGGACTCAAATAGACCACATAGAGACAGGCTATTGTTGGCGAGGGTCAGGAGAAGACTGCCACTCATTACAAAACACGTGCGTAGACTCTGATCAATCCCTGTTTCGCGCACGTTTATGCTTACGATTAAACGGACATAAAAAAATGTTGGCAGGGAAGCAGTTACCCTCCCCCCCAACTAGATCAAGACACTAAGTCCCTAATTAAGGAAGAAATAGCGAAACGAGTATCTGAGGTCGACAGTAAGACTCCCCCTAAGGAAGCCTGACACAATATACAGTTAGCTATAGACACAGCTATAAAGGCTGTTAATAACACAAAACCAAAAGTTAGTAAAAGCCTGTGGATTTCTACTATCTCATCCAAACTGATTAACGCAAGAAGACTGATTCCGGCGAACTCCGAATATGATGAGAAGCGAGAGCTGCTCAAAAGCAAACAAGAAGTCGTTGCAGCGACCGTGAACAGTGGTGGGCGACAACGGCGAAAGAGATGAAAAAGGCATCGGTGATCAGTAACACCAGACAACTATTTAGGCTTATCGGGGAAACAGGTGGTATAAGGCGAATGATAAGTGAAACAATCTCTGAGAAAAATGGCACCATAATTAGCTCCCAGGATAGACGACTAAAACGTTGGACCACAGGTGGCTGAGTTCTATCTCCTGTGTTAGGTAGTATAATAGGGCGAGCAATATTGAGGTTACGCGTCGAGTGCTAAATAAGGAGGAGAAATCAATCGACGAGGTTGTGAAATTACACCGACTGAGATGGTTAGGACACATGTGGCATATGCCCAGCCATCGCCTTCCTTGATGGGCGATGTTGGCTGGCCGACATATGATCAGGTTAGAAAAGAGCTAGTGGCGGACAAACCAAAACATGGCATCAGTCAATGAAACCCACAACAGTTAATTGGAGCCAGTCGCGTAGGGAGGTGTAAACTTCCTGATTTCGGGCCTCGGATGGTAAAAACCAGTGGCTGGAGACAATTGGTGATATGGCTCAAAATTGTTCTCAATGGCGCAGATGTATTTACTCTTTGTGATTTATAATATCCAAAAAATCTCTATTGTTCCTCCATATTACTATTCTTTTTGTTTTACACTTCTATTTGTTATCTCGCTTTTGAATCTCTCTTTACTCTTCTCTTGCTTTGTGTGCTACGTGGAGTCTTAATACAAAAATTTTGATGAACAGAAAAAGGGTCTAAAGTAGTTTTTGCAAGCCTTCTCCTCTAAGACTTGTAACATGCCATATTAACAACCACACAGTGCTTCTTACATATCATTTTTTCTATTCTATACATTTCCAGACCAACAATGTCATTTGTCTTCCTATTTCCTTTGTAATATTTAGTTATTTCAAGAGTCACACTAACTTGAAAAGATTTTATCTGGGATGAGAATTGGTCAATACAAATACAAAGGTAGCCTATTCTCCTTGAAATGGATCCTACATTTTTTTCATTCCCTCAAATGATATAATTTTTTCAGTAATATCACAAAGGTCAGGTAATTAGGGATAAATCTGATAATCAGCCACAATAAGGTAGATTTATTGTAGGGTCATAAAAATAACGATAGGAACACGAAGTCAAAGTTCACATAAGTTGGAATAGGTTATATATAAGGTGTACTCAAATATATACATATATATATGAGCTAGACTAGCAGTCCAAACTTCTCGGGTACACTAAAAAATTCGTGTGTCAAACAAAACTCAAACTAGTATACAAATAAGATAAGCTTTACTAAATTGTATTTCACTAAGTCCCTAGCTAGCAATAACTTAGGGAGTACTGCAGTTACTTTAGGCAGCGAATCCCATTTGCAACACATTTTCATCAACTTATTTTTACCTTCTAACAACAAGAAATATTAAGATATCAAATATACATCGTCGTCACATAGAGAAGTCTGATGGATTTTACCATATAACATATTGGTTATCTAATTATCAAATGAAAAGTGAACAGACTTTACCGATATTAGAGTGATACCCCTTTTAAGACTATCTTAGCGCTAACAAATCAAAATCAAAGCACTACTCCCCAACACGTCTCTTTTGGTAGAGCATACGAACAAGAATAAGTAGATAAACCCACCTCTAATGATTCTTCGACATTGACATCAAGATTACAGTAACGCCTTTTAAAATAAGCAACAAGCTCCTTGTACTTTGCCGTAAAACGATCCCAATCTCCCATTAAATCGCCAACACGCAAGCCATTACGAGTAATCTTTGAAGAATATGTTGGACCGATTCCTTTCTTTGTAGTACCAATAAGATTGGCCCCTCTTAATTCTTCCTATTGAACAAAGTAATGAAACACGATCCCAGTACCTCCATACGATCCGCCTCCAGATGTATATCAAATACTAAGTGGCATCTGTCAGATATACGTAGACGAGAAGCCACGTCTGGCAAGCCTTTTTTACTAGCCTCTTCAATTTCCTAAAGCGAACAAATTAAATGAGAACAGAACCTACTTGGAAAAGGCCTTGCAAATTAACAACGACGCCGTTACCAACAATAGCCAAAACATTGGGGTTCGCTATACCACTGGGTAAAAGGTGAAAGAAGTATTCCTTTCCACCAGCAACTACAGTATGACCTATGGAGATTACAAAGAAAAAAAATACTGGACATACCTGCATTATTTCCGCCTTGGCATCTGCATGCCACAGTAGCAGATTCACATAAGTAATCTACTAACTTTCCTTTTCCTTCATCACCCCACTGTGCACCCAGTACAACTGACACTGGTTTCACAGAACAGTTCTTCATGAGTCAATCTGACTTATTGTGAACAGTCCCTTAATGACGATTAGTAACAAACTGTAACGAACTCACTGAATAATACGCCACAACTCAGCGATAGCACATTTGGTAGCGTCCATATGCGAACCAGTGGTTGACACCAACGTTAAAGTTTCAATAACAATTTCTAAAATGTAACGACGTAATATCATAGAGTTTGCTCCTCCCCTCCTAGTTTTCACTGTTTCTCAAAGCTCTCAGTAAAAAAGTCAATATAACATGTAATTTGTGTCAGTTTATGGAGACGTCTAAATTCTTCCACATAATCAATAGCAAAAGCTGCTTTCGTATGTGACAGAAACTCAGGAATTCTGACACTGTTCCACTGTGTGGAATATCTGTGTGTGATATTTATATTAAATATTTGTGAAGCCTTATCAGAAATGATATTATCGCATTTACAACAGCATTCATCATCTAAATCTTCTGAACACCTCCACTCTACAAATACTGAGAACAGTTATCTTGTCGCAGCATCCCGCAATTGATATGACAGCAAGGCGACATGCGAATATGTTCGGGTTAGTTTTCTACGGGACAGTTTGGGCCAGAGTAGGCAAACATTTCCAGATGAGTTCCTGGAAAGATGCTTGTCGAAAATTTTGGGTTGATGTGGGCTTCCAAAAATAAATTCACAACATGAACAACTTCACCAGCACCCACAGTATTAATCGCCATGTTTAGCTGTCTCCATACTAAAACATCTTATAATAACTAATTTAAATATAACACTGTTGTCTTTTTTAATTCTTCACCTCTCAGGCACTTACAAAATTTTCCATTATGGGTAAAATCTATTTTGTTTAAGTCTCACAGTGTTATACAGTATTCTTTACTGATGACGTTTCGAGCACAATTTATTGCTCATAATCATATCAAGGTGAATTTATGTGAGTTTGTTGATAAGCTCCTTAGTAGGAAGACCATATGAATCATTGATATAGGAATAGAACTTGTGCACTGTGGTAGGGTGTAATTCCATTGTGGATAAAATTTATTTTGATCAAGCCTCACAGTGTTATGCTGTATTATTTGCTGATGACGTTTCGAGCAGAACTAATTGCTCATAATCATACCAAGGTCATATCATATCACCTCGATATGATTATGAGCAATTAGTTGTGCTTATGATATATGCTAACTAGTATTGTTTCACAAACCTTCGTATACTTCCGACAATCACATGGCGAAACTTCGCGGAGTGTCTGAACACTGCAATTCAACCAAAACCCACACGAGATGCAGCTGACTAAATCCTTACTATGAACAAGCACCAGTAGTTGTATGCATCTGAATATTCACCCATTTTTTGATCATTTAGGTGGGGCACTTACGGTTTTTAGTGATGGAAACTCATGAGACAAAATAGTCAACAAACTGTAGACGCTGATTTTCGCCATTTATGAGGTGCCATAAGTTTCGACAGACTGTAGCGTACATTTTAAAACACAATCAAAAATACAACAACTCCTGCTCGTACGAACAAACGTGGCTATGTGTACACGAGACCAATTATTTGTTCGTCAGAAGGTTATTTGCTGCTGTTGCGGATAATGTTTGTGGGACATATTTCGCCTCTGAGCTTGTGAAGTACATTCAGATCATTGACTGTTATATGTGATTTTATCACTTGTAACCATTTGATGATGCCTGCAAAGTGGCTTCCCTCCTTCACTGTACTACGGGAATAAATATTATTACCAGGACAGATTGGTTACGGCTCTACTAATAAAGTGAAGACGGGAAAGTTAGTTGAAAGGGTTAGTTACAGTTTAGGAGCCAATTTTTCTATCAAACTAACTACCTCAATCAACAACCGACAGCTAATATTACTGCAGAAGACTAACTCTGATTCTAAAAGTTTATTTTTCTAAGGCACAGCAATGGAAAAGTGAGGCAGTTTGCCTAATAAAGCATGCGGAGGTGCGTTCACCATTCGGCATATTTAGAAATCTTTGAAAATCAAAAAGAAGTTATAGTTCGAACTTGGCCACCCATCTCATCCTTCTGGCTTCATGGTCACTAGCTGGACCTTACTGACCATAGCACACAGTATCGTAGAGGCCCTACAACGAAACTACACAAAGTTATGAACTACTTCAGCTTGTAGTCTGGGATAATTTTGGAGGCCAACCAGTACCACTCATCAAGAACACACAAGAAAGAAGAAGAGGTGCTACGGTGACTTTGGGTAGATTTAAGTTCATGATGCAACGGACATTTAGTTCGGAAACGTTTGAGATGGACTGCGCAAAATCACTAAAAGAGTGGTCGCGATCAGCCATGTAATATATAGAATTATGTTCTGTGCATTTCGAGTGCATCATGCTATGCGCAAGAAGGTAAGTGTCGTTAAAATTCAGTGTTATTTGTGCTAGACACGGAATCCAGTTGCTGAGCAATATATTGGCCGACCGTTACTTGATGAGCTTGCTTGGAGGTGATTTCCATAAATAACGATAAATTGTTCTGCACACTGTAGTTATTTAGGCACCAAATGCCGATCGGATATGAGGGTTGGGAGGTGCATTCACAGGCATATGTATAGAACGATGAACCTGATGACTGCCACTTACATAGTCAGCAAGTCGTCACTTAGTAATAACGCGAACAATCACGTTACATGTTTACATAATTGGGTGACACACAATTTGTGTAGAGCCGTTGCCCCACACAAATGCATACAGAAAGTTCGCCACCATAATATTAGTTGGTCACAACTAAAGGAAGGAGGACGGCCAGATGAAAACTAGGTAGCAGAATGTCATCCGTGCAGTAGTTACTTTCGAAGTTAACACACTACACAGAAAGGAAAGTGGTTGCCGACTTTTAAAGAATGAGGGATATGTTTATGGAAATCTGTACATTGAATTGGGTGCCCTGTTGACAGATTCAGTCTCCCAGGGAGACATGTACCTACAGTGCTTGCTACATGCATGCTTCCTTTTGGCAATACGTTGAAGACTCGTATTACTTATGGTGGTGGTAACGATAATTTAAACATATAATGGTTTCGCATCACGTCTGGGATGACGTTAAGGAATCACGGAAGGTGGATCTCGTATTTGTTAGTCACAGCCAGCATTACCAGACTCCCGGAGCATAAGTAAGGAGTGCGTCAGACTTCGTCATTTGAGAGTGGAGTTTGAGAAACTATCGTCAGATATGCTTACTGAGGTGAAATGCAAAGTGCATACTCCAGGTTGATGGGGGTTGGAAGAATCGTAGATATGTCACGATGCCAACAGTCTTGTAGAAGACGGAAAAGCCCCCTTATGGGGTCCCGTTTCATTGACTTTATTGATTCGAGTTACAGCCTTTTGTTTGTTTTCAGTGTGAAGAAATAAATGTGCCTCTAGAACTCAGGATAAACTACTATATGTTTAAGACTGGATTTTGTTCGAACAAGAAGGACTATTCAATAGCTGCACAGGATTATGTACCGTGGGTCATAAGCCTGTAAAATGTGCATGAGTTTCAGAACAACTGCCAACCATCCTCAAGAAAATGGTATGTTGAAGTGTTCTCATCGATAGTTCAAAGCTGGATCATCAACCACAAATGTTCCACAGTGGACTGAGCTACTACCTTTAGTCATACTCGGGGTAAGAAAAGCAATGAGAAATGATGCTGGCCATACAACTTCTGAGTTGCCATATGGGACAACACTACGGCTTTCGAGTGAGTTTATTTCGTCCCCTGGTTTCCCGCTAGTTGCAAGCTGGGCCTCTTATGTCAACAAGCCTACAAACGCGATGCATTGGATAATGCTTCCTCTCCGTTGTTGACAATGTATAAACTTTTTTATCCTCACCGAAAGACCTGTTTACTTGTATTTGTTCGTCGTGACCATAAGTTACGTATTGGAACATTTCCAGTATGGGCCATATAAACGCTTGGAGAAATTCTACGTTGTAGAGAGAAGAGTTCATAGAGACCGTGCTTACACCAATAGTCCGAAGTCGGTCTACTTAGAGGACAGCCCCATGAACCCAAAACCATTCGTTCCGCATAACAGAATATTCGTTAATACCCGAAAGAATAACCGTCACATCAACGGAAACAGAAGCCTCTAACCAGACAGAGAAAAACACCTTCTTGACATGCAATGATGTTCCTAGAACATCTTAATATCTTATACGGCAGGTCATTAATAACGAAATCATTGTGCCTAACTTCCTTAGTGAAAATAAGTGGATTGTTTTCTACTGTATCCAGGGTCTTAGGTTAAATGTATTCTGCATGAATTTATACATGACGCATTAACCACTCTTAAAGTAGTGTTGTTTCTTGAGATCCGTCACTGTGTTAGTACGTCCAAATCCAACGATTATTTTAGGTAATGTTTTCAACGAAATCTTCAGCATTCTTATCTTCATTCCAAGGGGTGACAGACATTGGATAAGATTTAATTGAAGCATGAGAACCGATGGATGAATATTAACAGATCCACGTGCATACTTCATATTACCGGAAGCAGAAGGCTATAGGGCAACTCAGTGCAGTCGCTCCGGTAGAAAGATTCACCAGTGGTCTCATCATTAGCTTTTTATTCCCATCTGGTTTCGTCTAAGGGTCTACACGATCACATCAAGGGGAGTGAGCTGTAGCAGTAAATAATTCGTCAAGTTTATTGGGCTAATGCATTCTTCGTTCAACATCAAATGCTAGTCTTTACGATCTCAGTCAACTCGTTAAGCTGTAGATACGCAGTGAAGCATCTACGCCATAAGGTACTCTGCTATGTTTCGTTCGGTAGTCCATGAACAAGTCCTTGATAGTTAAGCAGTCTTCATCGCTTGACATTACTGCTCCCGAAATGTCCTTTAGTTTGCAGGATCGACTTGTTGCTTTGATTTGTCTTTGATCTTAGAAGAACAAGTACTTCAGGAGTTCTATCTTAGGCAACAGTCGATATACTTAATCTCTTAAAATGTAATGGGTTAGATGACGATACCTGCCGATACTGAACTACATAAACACACTTTATATTAACACTGAAAATAAATTGAGGTATGCAAACCTGGTAGCCTTAAAAGTTTGAGAATGGGAAATGTTGTGTAACCTTGGTTTTCACTCTTCATATACTACCTGCATTATCGGCTTCATCCTAAATATAATGTTTACACTCAGCTGGAGATCTGTTGAAGTGGAACTAGGAAATAATAAGATTATTCTTGCATAATCATTATCGATGG